CAAGGTCACCCTGAGCTACACGAAATTGATCCAATCTAAAAAAGGAACAGAGCTCGCACAAAGGTGATCCCAGCACTTGGGATCCCACACATTTAATCCCAGAACTAGGGAGGTTAAGACAGGAGTGATATAGCTGGGTGGAGAGGGGAATAATAGGGAGGTGGAGGTAGGAGTTCTCTGCAGTCTGAGGATGCGGTCTGACGACGGGACTGGCCCTTTGATCAGAGCATTGGTAAAGCTAAGAACTCTCTAGTGGCTGCTCTGCTTCTCTGATTTCACCTCCTGATACCTGAATTTGAGTTTTTATTGTTAAGACCAATTAGAATTGCTACACAGGGGAAAAAGGCAAAACCTTACCCCCCCCCCCTTTAGGGTGAGGCTCAGAGAGATGGCAATCTTCCTTTGCTTGGTGTGAGGATGTCAATAGTGCAGAAAATGTCTGTTATGATTTTTCTTTCTAGATATTTATTGCTTGAAGACTGTATCTACCTAAATTGGTTAAACCTATTCCCTTGACAAACTGTGTACAATAAACCCTGCCTTCTTGTTTATCAGGACGTAATAACCCTGCCTCCATTCTACCAAAAGCAATCTACAGGTTCAATGCAATCCCCATCAAGGTCCCAGCAAAATATTCACAGACCTTGAAAGAACAATAATCAACTTTATAAGGAAAAATATAAAACCCAGGATAGCCAAAACAATCTTGTACAATAAGTGAACTTCTGGAGGCATTACCATCCCTGACATCAAGCTCTATTACCGAGCTACAGTAATGAAAATAGCTTGGTATTGGCATACAATTAGAGAGGTTGACCAATGGAATCAAATCAAAGACCTGGATATTAATCTCACACACCTATGAACATCTGATTTTTGACAAGAAGATAAAATTATACAATGGAAAAAGGAAATCATCTTCAACAAATGGTGCTGGCATAACTGGATGTCAATATGTAGAAGAATGAAAATAGATCCATATCTATCCCCATGCACAAAACTCAAGTCCAAATGAATTAAAGACCTCAATATAAGTTCAACTACACTGAACCTGATAGAAGAGAAAGTTGGAAGTAGCCTTCAATGCATGGGCACAGGAGACAACTTCCTAAATATAACCTTAGTAGCATAGATACTGAGAGCAACAATAAATAAATGGGACCTTCTGAAACTGAGAAGCTTCTGTGAAGTAAAGATCACAGTCAATAAGACAAAAGAGCAGCTTACTGAATGGGAAAAGATCTTCACCAACCCCACATCAGACAAAGGACTGATTTCCAAAATATATAAAGAACTCGATAGTAGACATCAAAATTCCAAATAACCCAATTAAAAATGGGGTACAGAACTAAACAGAGAATTTTCAACAGAATAATCTCAAATAGTCAAAAGACACTTAAGGAAATGTTCAATATCCTTAGCCATTAGGGAAATGCAAATCAAAACAACTCTAAGATACCATTTTACACACCTGGAATGGCTAAGATAAAAATCACCAAATGATAGCTTATGCTGGAGAGGATATAGAGTAAGGGGAACACTCATCCATTACAGGTGGGAGTACAAACTTGTACAACCACTTTGGAAATCAGTATGGTAGTTTCTCAGAAAATTGGGATTCAACCTACCTCAGGATCCAGCAATACTACTCTTGGGCATATACCCAAAAGATGCTAATCATACTACAAAGACATTTGTTCAACTATGTTCATAGCAGCATTATTTGTAATAGCCAGAATCTGAAAACAACCTAGATGCCCCTCAATGGAAGAATGGATAAAGAAAATGTGGCACATTTACACATTAGAGTACTACTCAGTGGTAAAAACAAACAAACAAACAAACAAACAAAAAACCAGTGGCATCTCAAAATTTGCATGCAAATGGATCGAACTAGAAAACACCATCCTGAGTGAGGTAACCCACACCCAAAATGATGAATATGATATGTACTCACTCATAAGTGGTTACTAGCTTATAAACAAAGGATATTGAGCCTATATAGTTCATGATCCTAGTGAAGCTAAGTAACAAGGTGAACCCTAAGAAAAACATATATAGATACAAATAGACAAGATCGCCTGACAAAATTGGGAGCATGGAGGTGGGGGGAGAAGGGAAGGTGAAAGGGGAAGAGAAAGGGAGAAGGAAAGGGGGAGGAGAACTTGAGGGAATGGGACAGTCAAGATGGAGGAAGGGCAGAGATGAGAGCAAGGAAAGAGATATCTTGACTGAGGGAGCCATTATGGGGCTAGCAAGAAACCTGGCTCTAGAGAAATTCCCAGGAATCCACAAGGATGAATACAGCTGAGACCCTAACAATAGAGGAGAGGGGGCCTGAACTGGACTTGCACTATAGTCAAACTGATGACTATTTTAAATGTCACCATAAAACCTTCATCTAGCAACTGATGGAAACAGAGGCAGAGACCTGCAGCAGAGCACTGGACTGAGCTCCCAAAGTCTAGTTGAAGAGTGGGAGGAGTAAGAATATAAGCTAAGAGGTCAAGACCATGATGGGGACACCCACTGAAACAGTCTACCTGAGCTAATGGGAGCTCACCAACACCAGTCAGACAGGGAAGGAACAGGCATAGGTCCAAACTTTCCCTCTGAATGTGGTTGACTAAGATGGGGCAGACTAATGGGCCTCTGACAGTGACACCAGGATTTATCCCTACTGCTTGTCCTGGCCTTTTTGGAACCTGTTCTCTTTGGATGGATACCTTTCTCAGCCTAGATATTGTAGGGAGGGCCTTGGACCATCCCCAAAGCAATGTGCCTTACCCTCTCTGAGGAGTGGATTGGGGTGGGAGGGGTAAGTAAAGGGAATGGGAGGAGAAGAGGGAGTGGGAACTTGGATTGGAATGTATAATGAAAAAAGATAGTTTGCTTTCTTTTAAAAGAATAAAATAAAAATAACCCTGCGTCCTTGTTCAGTTGTGTGCAATAACCCTATTCTCTATTGCACTGTAATATAGTAAACATGCTAAGCTTCCATGCTCTTAAGGCTCCTCCCTCCCAGAGCCCAATCCACTCATCCCAGCTTTTCCATGTGTCTGACTTTTCTTCCTTCCCTCACCACCACAGTCAGGTTCACATGAGAAGCCACACCGAGTGCAGCAATAGCTAAGTCTAAATAACATATCCCCACCTTAAAAACAATTCTGAACATGAGTGGGTGCTTCACTTCAAGATGAAATAAGAACTCATTTACACAGAATATTGACAAGGCGTACAAAGTGAAGAATACCTCTGTATATAACAAAACATAAGAACGTAATCTTTCTTTCATTTATTTATTAATAGAATTTTGTTCCAGAGCTAATTTAACAAAAATTACAACATCTGAAACATGGCAAGCTAATACAGGAATAAAAAAGGTAAAACTTCAGACTATGGGGGAAAAAATCAGAAAATAAAGGTAGGAAGAGAAAACAGAGGGATTGAGCTATTTTCCACAGGCTGTAGTACTGAGCACTCTGCTTCGGGTGAGAGATGCTGGTGTTTTTTTAGGAGCTATTACCTTTTTTTCTTCCTGCAGAACCTGCAGTTGTCTGTGTAGCAAGCACACCCATGCTCAGCCATACAGGAGGAACCACAGTTGATCTCAGAGAGTCATGGATCCCTCAGGGACCAGAGCCTAGGTTGTTCTGGACCAAGAGAATGTCCTCGTTGCTTGAGACTTAGCGGTATCTCTTGAACTGCCTGCCTCCTGACAGAATACTTTCTAGTATGCCTTCAAGCTTTCCAGCCACCAATGCCAAAAGAGTCAACTGAATTCTCCTAGAACAAACTGAACTTTGTTTCAGACCCAAACCTACCCCCAAAACACAGTGTCCGTTAGACCAAAGGAGGTCAGGGTCTGTAGAGCGCCACTCGAATGTTTGATGTAGTTAAAATTCTGGAAGAAAGCCCCGATGATAGCGGCACCGCCACAAGCAATCTGAGCTATAGGCTCCCTCCTTAGACACAATTTATTACCCGCTCTGAAAGTTTCTTCTCCACATTCCTCTCAGGTTATATACTATTCTTGAGGCAAATGAAAAGGCATTTAATAAATTATTGTGGACACTGAGTGCAGAGACATTGTTCCTTGGGATCTGACCTTTGATTTCTATATCCAAAGCCCTCAATCTATGAGTCAGCAGGTAGGGTGTGGGGGTGGGGAAACGTCTAGATGCTTCTCCTGTAGTCTTCTAAAAGAACACGTGCCTAGTCTGTGTATCTCCTCGGGAAAGGCTCTTAGGCGTTTATCATACGAGAGAAATATCACAGTCTTTAAGGCATTCTTTTCCTCTCTGAACACTGAGATGAGATTTTATTTTTGCAGAATCTTATTTCGTGTAGGAGCAAGACTGTCTCAGCTTATGTTTATTGTTATTATTTATATCTGGGTTAGGAGAGAAAAAAGCAAACAGAATACTGGTAGGAAGAACGGAGCCTTCCTACCTGCTGCCTTGACTGCGTGAGTCCTCAGCCCCCACCCTGCCAGAGCTTCCCGCCCACGGGGAATCAGCCCCCTCGCCACTGAGTGGGAGGAAGGAAGCCCATTTCTACTTTCCTGAGAAGAGCCCGCTAATGTGGCCCTGTGAGGTACATCCTGGGAAAGGAACACTGCCCGGACCGGGAAGGCTTGAGGAGACTTGAGCTCTTGCCATTGCTAAAAGCTGATGACATCTTCCTGATGACTTCATCCCCGGATAGAAGTGAGCTCCCAGCTTCAGTCTTAGCGAAGTCTCAGAAAAAGAGCAGTTTGGAAAACACAAAGAGGAGAGACCCCATTTTCTCTTCTGAATTAAGTGAAGGAGCCACTGTTGAGACTCTGGGATGAAAACACATTCTCTACAGCACTGATAAGAACTGCGAAGCCACGGGGAAGAGAAAAACGAGAAACGGCTGGTGGTATTTCTCAGTGGGGCTCATGAGAGAGGAACGCATGCGCTGTACCGTTGCATCCCGTTTCTTCTGACCCTTCAGACAAGTCTCTAGCTTTCTTTTCAGAAAAAGGGACTAGCTCCATTCCAGTTCACGGTAGCCTCTTTCCATTTAGTTCTGATTGCCATTTCCACCGGTGAAAACCGTCTTCCTGGTCCATGTTTTTCCTCACGGCGCTCCCCTTCCCAGTGATGGGAGTGAGTATCTGAGGATGGAACGGCAGCATTGACATCCAGGCCCATTGACCTGGTCCAGAAGAAGCCAGCACACAAGGAAAAGAGACGAGGTGGGTGGGGCTGGCCCAGGGAGCCTTAGAACTGACTAGATGGAGAGAAAGTCTTGCAGACGGTATGCTGAAATACTCTTTCTGAGTAGGTCTGTAGTAGTCAGGCTTGCTGTGTTTTGGGTTGTGAATGTTCTTGTCATTTAACGCAACACTATGTGGCACATAGGATCAGGCACGTGTCACTGATATTACCAGGAAAACAGGTGACAGGAAAGGTCATTGCTTTTCAAGAAGAGATTTATTTGGGGGTAGAGTCTAGAAAGGGAAGCTGGAAGCTGTTTTCCTAGGCCTAGGTTTGTCTCACATGAACCAGGTGACGCTTAAGGAGTACTTAAAATGCCATCACTGTGTTTCTTTAATTCATTTAGCGGCTAAACATAGCGACCACACAACCAAAAATAGATATCAGAGTACCTGCTTCACATGGCTAGCGGGAATTGAATGCCTGTGTTACATACACTCTCAACACCATACTCAGAATAGATCACGTGGGACATTTGTAAGACGAGAAAAATGGGGTTTACCTCAGAGGCGGGTAAAGTAAAAATGGTAACAGATGTTAAAGAACATGTGGCCAATGTCTCACTAAAGTAAATGAATTAATATGCGTTTCTCATAATTAAAGAAAAAGAGCTGCACAAATTTGTTCTTAGAGCCATTTCTAGATGCAGAGAGAACAGCAAAAATTTAGTAAACCCCAGGCTTATGATGCTAAATAAAAAGCCAGCCATCGACAAAACCCCCAAAAATGGAACCAAGGTTGCTGGACAGAAGTCAAGTTTGTCCACTGTTAACGTCTTGTCAAAGGTGCCAGTATTCAAAGACTTCTTAAGGTTAATCATTTTTCCTCATGAGTTTAAGGAACTGAAGTTTTAATTGAGACAAAAGTGGTCTGCTTCTCTGTGATTCTCCCAGGACCTGCTGAAGGTTTGCAAGAACTTATGCCCAGTGGGTTCCCGGCACCTGGCTCAGAGTTTGCACTCAGGAATGTCTTTTGAATTAAGATGAACAGAAATGCATTCTTACTTCAGCTGCTACGCCACTGGATGACTGTCTGTCTTGTGTTTGCGCTTTGCAGAATTGGCCAGGAGGAGCTCTGTGTCTCCTTTGCTTTTGTATGCCTGTCTTGGGGCTTTGCATGGAGAGACCTCATGCTTAAAGAAAGGGCCGTGGAGAAATAGTTCTGGAAATTTGACCCTTCAAACTTTACTTTTTTTTATCTTATCTAGAATTTATTTATTTTTCCATGTTATTTCGGACACTAACACATACACATACACACACACACACACACACACACACAGAGAGAGCTACATTTTAAAGCCCCACATAACAATGGATTTAGACCAAGGCAGAGGCTTCATTTTAGAAACTGAGTCTGAGTATTTCTTGCAGTGCTAGCACAGAAAACTGCACAGTTGTTAAACAACGATGGCCACCCCTCTGATTGCGCTAAAGCACATACGTGGGAGTCTCAAGTGCTCACCTATTGTAAGATGCATGGGCTTCTCCTGGGAGGGCTGCCCGCTGTAAAAGTGCAGATCAAAGACTCGCTCCATTTTCCAGTCCGATAAGAGCTGCCTATTTGTGCAGAAAAGGATGCTATAATTTCCACTGAGGTTGCACAGCCAGATAGGAAATGTGGGCGTCTTCAGCATGCTGCCCACCTGGAATGGGAAAGGAGAATGCAGATGAACATCTAGATCTTTCTGAATGGAAGACGCCGACACATTCTCCTGGTGAAAAAGCAGTCCTGGGCTTCTTGTTGCACATACAGCTTGTGGGTCGTGGTATGTGGGATAAAACCCCAAACCAAGACTTCATGGAGAATGAATTTACACCTACAAAAGGCTTGGGAGAGTAGGAACACCTCACTTTGCTTTGAATGGGCTGTGCTTTTTAAACACAGCAGCCTGATAGGGAAGGCAGAAGTTTTCTAGTTTGGCTAAAAGGTGACTGACTTGTAACTATAGCTGTGGGAAATGAGAAGGCCAATTCTGGGCCACTGACTAGGGTGATTACTACCGGTATGATTTCCAAGATTGGATGAGGTCTCCTGCAGCAGATGTCGGCTTCCTGGTAACACTAGTCATTTATACCGGAGGAAGAAGGCTTCTAGGAAATGTCGGGGACACACTTGTGCACTGCGGGAGGCAGTCATGAAGGGAAAGTTGGCTGGTACGCAAAAATAAACCTGTTGGCCTGATTTAACGACCTCATGGTCAATGGGCTGTCTGCTGGTATTGACTGGAAACCACGATGCAACGTCATCACGACCTAGATTCGTTTGACTCTAGAGAAGACTAATTTGACAATTCAGCTAGATCTTTGGACACCAGACACAGGGATCAGGTAGATGGCAGCCATTGGTTTCAGAAAAAGGAGAAGCCAGAAGAGCTGTCCAAAGTGTTTTCCCAAGATAGCCAGTCCTGGGAGGCTCTCTCTTCCATTTTAATGGCTTGGCTTTTGAGTTTTTTTCTTCTTCACCATGTCTTAAACCATTTTTGGTTTGTTTGTATAGACAGCATTTCCTCTCTAGAACCAGACAGATGCCTCCTTGAGCAGTCACTATTAAATAAGGACCATAATAGTTTAGGGGGACAATGGAAAAACGCAGTCCTATATAATCGAAGAACATTTGAATTGTAGTTTTAGACGGCAATTGAAGCCAAAGGTCAGAAGCATAGGGGCCATACTAAGACACTGAGTATCTCACCTTTGAACCAGGGGCAAATCTACACTAGGTACAGGCAAAGAGAAATAGCCCCAGGTTGGTTTCACATACATTTCTCCCAAGTTGTAAATAAGTATTTAACTATATACATTAGTTAAAAGGAACACACTTTTTTCTAGGCATTCTTGCAATAGTTCTTTCCTGAGCTAAGGTTTATATGTAATGAAAATATGATATACAGGACAAACAATTATTATTAATATTTACATTTTGAGACCATTTTAGCACATAGCCTCAAACTTGCTCTGTAGCCCAGGCTGGCCTCAAGCTCATAACCCTCCTGCTTCTGCCTTGTAAGTGCTGAGGTTACTAGCGTGTATCACCATACTCAACTGGAACATGCAACCATTAATGTAAGTAATGGAATGAAGTAACTAGAAGATTGAATGCTGTTTGTGATAAAGTGTTATGCCATTTGAATTCAGGTCAATCTTATAATTGATTTGAAAAAAATCATTCAAAGTCCCTGTAAATTCTGGATGGAGGGATGATATGCATATATAGGTATACAGGTAATATGTATACAAACATTTTCCATAGAACATTTGTAAAATGCAAAAAATTTGCTGTTTCTCAGTTGCACATGCCCAGCCTGTTGCTGACACCCGGCCCTGCCACTTTATAGAGCAAAGCAACTCTTGTCTTTTCTGAACTCAAAGTGACTAGATCCCTTCTGAACCACAATGACCAGATTTCACCCCGAGCAGGCAGTGTTGCCTGCCTGGGGAGATTGTGGTAGAAGGGAATGCCCCGCATGACGGTACTTTGGGTAACAAGTCAGGAGATGAGCTTTACGGTTACCACTGAGAAAACAGCTGGTTTAAAGTAATATAACAGGTCGACCAGAAAGTAAGATCTTCCAAAGAGATGCTTATGACTCTTTCTCTCTGTGACTATGAGACTATTCAAGTAATGGATCCTAAAGAAATGGGGATTTCTCTAGGGATCTCATGCTGGGAGAAGGAAAAGGCCCCAGCCAAAGGATAAACTCAACTCCTGCACAGATTTCAACCAGTTCTAATACTTTATTGACCACCTTACAGGACTGGAACCTAGACAAGGGGAGTCAGTGACAGGCAGGACCACCCGTTGACTGGGACTGTTTAGGTGTGGACGTCCTTGGCCCTCTATTCAAACTCTGATCTCACTTCAGGACCCAAAGACGGGCTTAGGGGAGGTGACTGGATTTCTCGGTCCCTCTTCCCAATGTGATCACACTGAATACATCTCCCTTCCTGATTTCTACTGTTAATTTAGCTCTTTTAATCTGAAGATGGTGACCGAACCTGGCTTGAGCTATAGCTGTGGCCTCCAAGTCTGAAAACAGCAAGTCCTGCAAACATCAAACCACAGCACTTTCTGGTTGAATCTCGTCAGGTCTCACCCCAACCCCTGTCCTGCTCCTGCACACCTGCCCATTTGATTGACATTTTCCAGTTTTAAGCGTTTTAATTGTTTTTGGATAGACATGGTTTACCAGCCACCCCGCCCTCTTTGCAGGGTTCTAAATATATTTTATTGGTGAGATTCCACCAATTCTGAATTTGTGCATGTTGCCATGGTAAGAAGAAAATTAAATTTGATACAGTGGTACTATAAATAAAGTACCTTTCTCCTTAGGTTCACTTATTGTGTAATAAGCCCAGTCGTTTCTGTGTTACTCCCAGCAGCCAAATCCTCTGTAATGTAAACCTTTCTTTAAGCCAATGTAAAATGACAAGGACAGGAGAGACAGACACATCCTAACACCAGAGAGCAAGAATTGAGTCCATATAGGCTTTCCTTTTGTGCCACCAGTACAACAGTGCTTAGACAGTGCCTTTGTGTAATGAGCTTAATATTGCAAGTCCCAGGGCCTCAGGCTGGCAATGTGAGCGGGAGAACAGTGTCAGAAGCATCGTGTTTTCTTCATTGAGCCCGGGTGACAATTCTCATGCATACGTGTTAATGGCCTAGCTTTCCTCTCTGCCACCTGGAACACACACTTGATGTAACTTCTCTGGCAGAGTTTGCAGGTATGTTGTAAAAACAAATTAGATCAGGCTTGCGGGGTGTAACCTTGGTGACTTCGTGGCAGAGTGTAGTGAGTTACCGCTTCATTGGCTGTTTCCAAGGTTGGATTTCTTCCCATCCGGCTCTCCAAAGGGAAGACGTAAAGAGAGAAGAGGGTACCATTGGGATGGAAGTAGGAGCTGCCAGGGCTGCCGTGGGAATGATTCTGGCAAGACCTAAATGACTCCAGTCCCTTCTAAAACTCAGAGCTGATTTTTCTTCCCACTGGCAGGTGTAACGATAACGTGAACCTCCCAAGGCTTTCCAGATGGTGTTAGACTCAAACTGCTTTATGTTCTCACTTAGGTATTGGAGCCTCACACTCGAACTTGTACCTTCAAATAGAAAAGTAACAGGGAGGCTTCAAAATAGTGCCTTGCCTCGTGGGTAGCTGGCTGCTTCCTGCAGGAACTGTCAGTCTGGTGGGCTCTAGGGGGCTTACTGCTTCATCTGATGAGAGCATCAACTTTTTTTCCTTTTTAAATCTCACCCACTGAGCTGTGACATTGGGACAGAAAAATGTGGTTTTTTTTTTTATTTTTTATTTTGCAATCTCTGCAGTTTTAACACAGTGGAAGAAAAGATTGACTTGGGGGAGACAAAGGCGGAGCTACAGAATGTGTTTCTCCTCCGCCACAGATCCCAGCTGCTGGCTGGGTGGCATGCCAGTTGCCTTCTGAGCTCAGAACCCTTTCTTCTGCTAGGTTATCCCCATCAGTGAATACACGTACTATTCAGCTCTATTGCATCCACCTGGTCAGGACCCACCAGATACCCTGGAAGCAATACACGCTCAGTTGCACAAACACAGGTCTCCTGCAATGTCACCACGCCTTGGGGCAGAAAGGAAGGGCCGTGGCCGTGGAGGGTCTCACAATGCGTGACATTTTTCTGAATCCTTCTTCTTTTCTTTCTCAAGCCTGCTTTGCAAGGTGTTTCCACTCCAGGCTTGGGTGTCGTGAAATATTTGACTCTGGGGTCAGCTAAAGTCCGCGCAGATGGCTACTTGGTGGGCGCCTGTCTAAGCACTGTTAAGCTTGTCCTGACGAGGGTGAAAACTGTCGGCACCTGACAGACGTGGTCTGCCTGTCCAGAAACTGGATGGGGGCAAACACTTTAGAAAGCATGCGACCAAGCACCTGTGATTCATAAACTCATAATGGCTTTAGCTTTAAACGGCTCAACCGCCATCCACTTCAAAACCCCTGCCACTGTCAAAATGTTAGCGCCCACCGCTAGTGCGTCTGTAGCAAAAACTCAAGGTTGTGTAAGACCATCCTGTACTTATAGCTGATTTTTAAAGTGCTAATTATAGCATGCAGTTCCAGGAACTAGTATTTCTATATTTATAATTTATTGGAAAATAAATGTCACAGTACCGTGACATTTGTCACAGACCGTGAGCTTTGAGTGCAGATAGAATAGGCCTCATAACCCTGCTCTAACCGGCAACTCAGCAAGGCTTTGGGCAAGGTCCTCTAAGTCCCTTTGACCTTTCTAATCTCTTAACTGAATCACAGAGCAACGAACTGGACTTAGGATTCTAGCTTTGGGTTATACGTGGACGATATCATTGCTAGCTAGGGTCATTGCCAGTAGAAAGTCTGGCAAAAACAGGTGCTGTGTGCCCATGGCCATCGGCACTCCAGTGAACGAAGCCACTCCATAACGCACCCTCTAGCCTCTGTTTCTCTCCCTCTAGGGAGAAATACGCACGTGTGTGCGCAAAATGATGTCAGGGCTTCATGAGATGAACATTGCTTCTGTCCTGACATAGGAAGATGAAATGGAGAGAACGAAAAAGAATACTTCATGGAAAATCAACCGTGTGAGCGTGTTTTGTATATCTGTGTCTGAGAGACTTAAGCAAGATGATTGTCGGCTTGTCGCTGATCTATAATACATTTAAAAAAAAAACCAAACTCCAAGTGCATGACAGAAGCATTGTCATAAATGTCCTCGGGGTTTCAAGCCATTAGTGCACAATTTCGGGCAGTTTTCAGCGAGGGTACATTTACAGGCATCTCCCTGGGGGAGAGAATGCTGAGTCCAAGAATGAAGGATGAAAAGTCCCACTACTCACTTTCCCCAAAGCTGGAACTGTTTTAGATTTGATTTTAATGTAGATTTTAAAGTGACCCCAGGCATCTCTAGCCTCTGCCCTACTTCGAATTGGCAAGCGAACCTTCAGATGGCGCCCTGTGGGCTCCTACATTGTGCCCTCTTCCCGGCAGGAAAGCTCTTAGTTTCTCCCCTATGTGCTGTGTGCTCTCAACTGCCTTTAAGGTCCTTGAAAACATCCTCTTCTTATTAGAGGATATTTTAGGCTCTGCAGGTAATTTTCTTTAGAGCATGGTTTAGCGCTGGATCCCCACGAATTCTTGACTCTGATGCGCCCTGCCTCTTGGTGGTGGCATTTTCTCTGATGTGCAGACCAGCTTAGCAGCTGCTTTGCAAACACCTGTCCAATTTTAGCCTCAGCTAAAGCCAGCAGCTCATCCCCCAAAGCCTTGCAAACGTTAAAAGGGAACAAAAGGCTGCCCACCTCGCCATCGCGGATGAGACGACGGTATGCCGTTTCTTCTAGGTTCTGTTGAAAGAGCTGGCTTCCCAGTTCCTCACACCATGGATTTAATCACAGAGCCAAAAGAGTTCATTGAATTTCCTCCTTCCTCTAGAATAGGAATTCTCACCTAGGGACAATTCTGCCCTCACCACCACCAGGGGACATTTGAAAATGGCTACAAATGTTCGAGGTTGTGATGACAGGATTGGAGCAGCTGGCATCTAGAGGGTGCCGTACAAGAGCTTGCAGAGAGAACACAGCTCCACGCCATAGACAAATATCCCCATTGACCACAGCTGAGAAGCCCTACGTAGGGCAGGGGTTTCTCACCCTCACGGACTCTTAGAATCACCTGGGAGATTTGAGGTCACGTTCCCAGCGTCCCTCAGAGGAAGTAACACTGTTTGGGGTCAACATGGCTTTTTGCTTACAGGACCCTACACGAAATGAAAATGCAGGTACTCTCGCTAAAAACTTAATAATGTAATAATCTGTGTGACAATACAAGTGTCGTACTCAGAAAGTTAGTGGGGTTTGAGGATGCCCCAGGCATCGATCATTCAGAACTTTCTGAATAGGCTTAGACTGCAGTCAGGTTAATATCATTGCTATCGCGTTAGTCTAGAAAACCAGTTTTCAACCTCTGGGTCGAGAGCCCTTTGGAGGTCAAACAACCTTTTCACAGGGGTCACCTAAGACCATCGAAAACACAAAAACATGGATTTTACATTATGATTCATAGCAGTAGCAAAATTACTGTTATTTTAACTAGCAATGAACTAATTTTATGAAAATAATTTTATGGTTGAGGTCACCCTAACCTGAGGAACTGTATTAAATGGTCACAGCTGAAGGGGACACACCAGATAAAGGGGAAGGTGAATAAAGTAATCCCAGGATATAATAAGGGGTTCTTTAGTTAAGGGGGAACTCAACACAGATCACAATGGGGGAACAGGAACAGAATCCAGCATTTGGGTGTTAGAGCCGAGAGAGAAAGCAAGCGAGTGGGCCCGCACCTTTTTGATACCCAAGGCCATGCCCAACCTAGTCCAGCCTCTCAAAGGCCATTGGGCTGAAGGAGGTTCCCCATCACATAGCAGTAGGAAGGTTGAGAACCACTCTTCTAGAATAATCAGAATATGCCACGTGAGGCCCACCTAGGACTCAGTTTTGTATCTTGACACAGATCCTTCCATCTAAGTGATGTTAAGTAAGCCTGGCTGACTGAAGCGTTAGAATGTTATCCATTGTCATCTGTCAAAAGTCTCACACGTGCACAGAACATTTTTGGATTTCCATCTCTTTGCTTCACACCAGTCCCATATCTCAGAAATCAGGAGAGACTCAATAGTCATCAGCTCAGAAGGATGAGTGACTGGGCAGGTCTTGCCCCTGCTGAGGTTTCCCATAGCTGTAGATTTCCAGGTAGGATTATTTTCTTCCTCTGTAGGATCTACCTTGCCTTTGCACCAAGGCTTCTAAATACTGCTGGCATGTGACATGTGACACGCGGCATAGAAGCCAGTGGCATGAGAAGAAACTCATAAGACAAGCACCTATTTATTTAAAGGCATACAAGGGAAAAGCAATTGCTTGCTTTATATCACCATAGCAATGAAGATTAAAAACAATCTTAAAACTGAGTTGATTTAAGGAAAAATATCAATAGAAGCACAAGAGACGCAGGGGTATAATGACACAGGTTATAAACTACACAATAGATGAAGCCCTAAAATTATTGTCACTTGTGTGTTTCACCCTTGGAACTTGATCTACTCTATTCCTCCAATTTTTGCAAAATAGAATCTTGACACGTTGCTGAGATCTGAGACATAGACAATACTAGACCGAAGACATGTAGTGACTATGTATGGCCAACAGAAAAGCAAAATATGTCAAATTAACCCTTGCTTCTGCCTGAGTTTTCTTCACTGTATTTACTAAGGTCTGAAGTGAACCCCCCAGCTTTTCTAGAAAACGTGATTAGGGACCTTATGACTATAACCCATCTGTTTTCATCCAGGATATACCCAAGTTTAGTCTTTGCCGTTCATGTAATGGGATTCTTTGCAGCCATTAAACACACTAAGGGCCAGATTCTCACTAGCGTATAAGGATAAATATGAGAAAGATTCCAGGAGAGTAACACACAAGGAAGAAAAAGAGAAAAAAGTATTTCTGAAAACACAGACCACTGGAGAATGGAATTGAGTTCATTTCTATTAGTTTATTTGGCACTTCTCATGTGTGTGTGTGTGTGTGTGTGTTCCTGGAATCTACAATTAAGGAACAGTAAAGAAACTTTCAAAGCACACATGTTCATAAAAGCTACCAGCCTGCCAGAGTCATATCCTATTTTCTTGATGTCACCCAGACACATGCAGAAGATGCTGGGTTTGTGAATAACACACACATAACAGCTGGACACAGGTGGAGACGTAGGTGAGGTTATGGATTGGACGGCTCCTTGTGAGAAATTCTGTACTTATGAGGGGTATCTGTGGCAGGAACGGGAGAACTGGTAGACAGGATAAGAGCTGAGCAAGGCCTCGTTTGCCAGCAGGGTTAAAAGATGATGGGCATTGGCATCTCTATCAGAGGGAACCACCTCCAGGTTACTCCAGAGAGCTGTTGCTCTCCACAGTCCTTGCCTCTCCCGGGGTCAGGAAGAAAACCCCGGCACAAAGCATCGTAAGCAACTTTGGTTCATGGGCTGGAGAAAGTGTTCGCCTTGCACCTTCTCTTCCTTATTCTGCTTCTACACCCACGGTTTGCTTTCTGGCCGTCAGAAGGTGTGCATCCCCTGAGCTGTGACAGGCATATCAAAAACAGGGCCCCCATTCTAGTATTTGTAAAAAAATGATCAGAACAGGAAGCGCATGTACACTCATTTGCATAAGTAATGGATTTGGAGGACGCCAACCACCGGGCTGTGGCTACCTGGGCATGAAAGGAAACTTCCATCCATCTGTGTGTTTCAAATATTGTTTTTCAATAAGTGTTCACAGGTGGCTTCCATTATATGCACTTTGTAGGCATTAAAACATGGGAAATAAAATATGAAGAGAATAAAATAGCATTGAATGCTTCCATTTAGACCCCGTGTGTGTGTGTGTGTGTGTGTGTGTGTGTGTGTGAGATGGAGGGAGGCACACCAAAGGTACCAAATGGGAAAAGAGGTTCAGATTTAACACTTTTAAGCATGACAAAAAATACTTGCATTCTGGTTATAGAGTTAAGAATCAAGCACTAACCTGTGAGAGTCGGTCACCCTCAGAAGTGTCCTTACCCCACTGCAAGTAGCCAATGTCACTGCGGGCCAGGACTCCATGTAATGTTTCCCCAGACCTTCCTTTCTCATAGCCATTGAAGACATTTGGACTTGCCCTCCCAGTCAAAATCATATTGATAACGGCCTAGGTTGAAGAGTTGGTTAATATTTACATTTTAGGGAGACTGTTTTCTTTAAAAAGTATTACAGAAATGGTCCAGGAGGCAGCTCTGGGGCAGGGAGCTTGCCTATCAGGCCTACAGGCCTAGATTCAACCCTCAACACAAAAAGATAAAACAATCGTTTTAAATGCCCATTTGTTTTTACTATAAAGAATGCAGCTATGCCAACATAGTTCTGGAAAAGCATATGTGTGATATGAAATTGGTAGAATTAAAATCACAGTTTTTGGGGTTTTTGGATTTTTTTTTTTTTTGCTTTTTTTCCTCCCACCCACGTGCTGACTTTTCTTCCTTTGTATTTGTTTTAAACGTGCTTCCCATTGTTATGACTTAGGAAGCACGAAGCTAAAATGTACGCCATTTGTTTTGTCAGATACTAGGGATACCTGGTGAGTCTTGTCGAGGGATCATGTTTCTGAGATCTCCGGCTTCTGTGGGGACTCTAGGAAGGACTGTGGAAACCAGAGAGTAGGCTCTGGTAGCTTTATCTCATCTTTCAAAGACAGCGTGACCAGGTTTTACTCAAGGAGAAAATGAACTTCCTTAGGAAAGAAGCCTGGTTCAGAGTCTACGAAAGCGATGCAAAGTCTTCCCGCCTACCTGCCTGCACAGGATGCTCCCAGCTCGAGACTGCAAGAGATGAGTGGTGCTCATGTCCAGGTCCTTCTGAAGCCTGCAGGATGAAGGGAGCTGTCAGCATCTGGTTCGAAACAGTGGTCATACCAGGGAGTGCAGCAATAACAAGGGCTACTATCCCTTGCTCATGCCCTTCATGGTTCTACTTCTCAGAGGACTAGGACCAGGGCTTCAGGGGTGATGGGGAAACTATAGTTTGGACGATGAAGTAGGCGTCAGTGGTAAGGAAGAGGAAGAAGACATATACATGTCATACAATAGAACCCCTGTGTGTGTTCTAGATGGATGCTGGGCTTGCTGGAGAAGACGCTTATCCTGTATGACAGTTGCTAGGCTTACGGCAGTGACACATGACCACACCAGAGAGTGCTGGCTTAACGCGGGACTGAACAGACTCATCAAGTGGAAACCAGAGTGGTCGCGACTTCATTTTTTAGCATCAAGATCAGAGACCAGAGGCTGGTCCTACCCTTGACCGTGCAAGGTGGTCTGTGGCTCTTGTCAACTGGAAGAAACATAGTGCTGAGGTGGAAACAGTATGTCTTCATTGAGTTAATTTATTTATCTTGAGTTGAGACTGGAGGGCAAGCCCTCTGCAAACCACACTGAAAGATGTGGGGCTCTCATGGAACTGAGGAGAGCGCTCTTCAGCAGAAGAGAAGGTGGTATAGATTTGAGCGTTTTAAATCTTAATGGTAGCTAAGCATGGTGCCACCGTGCTATAATTCCACCCGTGGGGGAGAAGGCAGAAGGATGGCAAATGTGAGTTCAACTTAGACAGAGGACAACTTGTGAGGATCCATTCTCTCCCACACTGTGGGTTCTGTGGCTCAAGCTGAGGTCTAAAGCCTTGGTGAAACTGTTTTTTACCAGCTGACCCAGCTTGCCAGCTCCCTAGCTCCTCTTCACTCCTGATTTTGAATTTAAAGCACCCTAAGTTGCCCATTCTGGCCTTACGCTCACCCTGTAATCCAGGGTGATCCCCTTGACTCAGCCTCCTGAGTGGCCGGGTTTACAGGCCTGTGAAGGCATGTCTACTCCATCTTTATCATAGTAAATGGCTTAAAGAAGTTGCTTATCTATTAATATTGAAGACATGAAAGGGAAGAATAGTAATGTTTAAAACAGGTCTATGCTTAAATACGCATTGATTTAAATGAGCTTTCTAACCAAATAACAGTATAGTCCCCACCCCTTGTCTGGCTCTCAAAATCTTTCTTTTATTTCAGAGTCTGGAAGAGCGCCTTCCTCTTCCTTAGAACTTTCTGTGCTTACTGTAGGAGCCTGCCTCCTCTGGAATCCACCAGCAATCATTATCTCTACGCCACTTTGGGATGTCAGGTGCTGCCTGGTTTTGTCCACTATGTCTGGGTATATCCGCTATCTTCCCCAGGGTGGAAGCCACAGAAGATGAGCGTCCCATCGTCTCTTAGCCATACTTCCCACTGTGCCAAGAACAAAACTTTTTCACATAGACAAAAGTTAGACATCTGAGGGGATAATTTGTGGATAAAAAAATATTCATAAAAGATACCTTGCCTATTCATATGGACGAATCAACTAACGAGAAGACACACAGGCAGAAGAAAAACCATTGCATAAAATATGGAATGGGAATATTTTCCTACTGAGTTCACACCTATGTGGCCCCCTTCCTGTAGGCAATGCCGGCATGGATGTTTGTGAAATTTACCTCTCGAATGTTCTGGAGAGGACTAGGCTGTAGAGGAAGAGGATGACACCGTGGCTGCCTTCACCTTGGAACTGTGGAAAACGAGACCAACGCCTTTGCTTAAAAACATCGCTGATAGAGGGGTAGAGGGCACAGGTGTGGGTATGACGTCAAGGTCTTAGGTCTAACAAAAGTCCGCCCCCTTCCTAGTCACTGGAAGAGTGGAGGCTGTCTTCTTCCCAGTCATTTCCTTCTCTACTTGAAGGCCACAGTGGGCCAACATTCTCTGTCTTCAACTTAGCCTTTCTTTCTTCTACTTCTATTTAGTGATTCCCTTTAAATCATGGCTGTAATGTAAGTCTGTTCCCTTGCAGGACCCTGGGTGTTACACTGAGCTCACCTGGTTTGCTGAACATATCTTTTCTAGCTACCCCACTGGATTCCAAAGGAGCAGGAGACTCAGAGAAAGAGCTTTGGCATTGACAGGTGCACAAAGATACTTTTATTCATCAGGTTCTTTTTGATTTTTTGCTTGTTTGTTTCTTTGTTTGTTTTCTTGAGACAGGGTTTCTCTGTGTATCTCCAGCTGTCCTAGAACTCACTCTGTAGACCAGGCTGGCCTCAAACTCACAGAGATCTGTCTGCCTCTGCCTCCCTGAGTGCTGGGATTAAAGGTGTGTGCCACCACCCGGCTTTCTTTGAGTTTTATCTGAAACTTTCAGCAAATACTGCATCCCTCTCACCGCAGGATTTGTTGCAAAGGTTAAATGGAGTAATGTACAGTATACATCTTGGTTCTTGGAATATTTTGGATCCAGAGAATCTGTCCCTTTTTTAAGGCTGTTCTGCTTAAAACTTTCAAATGATAATTCGTGACCCCGTGGATCATATCCAAACTGCCTAATCAAATCCAAGTCTCTCAGGGGCTAGTCTAATCTTAGGTTTTTCTCAGTATTCCCCTTACTACAAAGCAGCCCTTTGCTGGCCTCCCAGGTGTCCAGAGCTAGAGCCTTCTTAGAAGATACAGCAGCAGGAAGGCTTTTCCCAGGGCACCATATTTTTCTTCATGGAATAGCGTGTCTGCAGGTATGCCTGTAACCTGTTACAGCACAGAACCCCCAGGCCAGTGGCACAGGCGGCAGACAGGAATTCAAATGGGCATTCTTCAGGGTATAAGAGAAATGGACAGTGTGGGGCCTGAGGCTAAGTGGAAAGTTGTTGTGGGTTAGTTACCTAATTGCTGCTACAACAATACCACAGCCTTGGAGGCTGAAAACAACACGCATGCTCCAAGCCCAGCGTGGCTCTTAATGGAAAGGCTGAAGAGACTACCAACCTGGGTTCTAAAGGAGCATGACTTCCTCCAGCTTTAAGAATCTGCCCTCATCTCTTCTTCATGGCCCACCACCTAGTTTTTTCGCGTTCCTTACAGCTCTTTAGAGTTCCTACCTCCTTCTTTCCATGTGTAGTGACACGGTGGCTAATTGGGCACAGCAGGACAATCCAGAGTCATCCCCCATCCCGAGATCCCGAGTTGCACCTGCCAAGTCCCTTTTACCAGGTATGACTCTCCTTCCTACGGTCAGCTAATCTGCCGCGAGATCAGCAGCTTGTCAGTTAACCGAAGAGCAAAAAGAATGTAAGCTAAGCGTTACGGTCTTTTCTGGGATGAATTCTGTTGGCACGATTCTGATGTGAAATTTCCCCGTTGTTCTTTGACATGTACAGATTGAGATGTGAAAAGGTGTTAACACCACAGAGGCTCGCACTCGGCTCAGATGAGACAGGGTATTGACTTCCGAGGGCGGCTACCACACTTTAGCAGAAAATCGAATGTCCTAGAATAATAGGAATTCGTGTCCTAACAGCTCTGGGAAGTGGAGGTTTGAGATCAGGTTCAGAGTAGGGCAGCATTTTCTGTGAAGGCCCTGGGCCTGGGAAGGTCCGGAATCTCTGTACATTTCTTGCTGAAGCCATTAGTACATGTTGGCTTGCAGGCTCATTACTCAGACGTCTCTCTGCCTTCGCTGGTTCTCATGTGCTCTTCCCATGAGCCAGTCTGCACATTTTCCCTCTTCAAAAGTATCAGCTGTTGGAACCCAGCTCCCCCTGATCCCTTCCGACCTCTTCCGATCTTGACTGCACCTTCAAATGACTTCATTTTCAAACAGGGTCACATTGCTAGGAGCGTCATCAGTGTGTTTGCAGGGCAGGAGGAGGGCGTCTAGGGTCTCAGCATTTATCTTGATGGAGGAGGCAGGGTGACGGAAGGGGGGTGTCAGTTGCTCAGCTGACAGCAACAGTCCTCTTGCGCACAAGCAGCCCTCAAATCTCAGTGTTGAAATCCCTCCCTAAATAAAACTGGATGCAGGACAGACGCAACTGATAGTAAGTAGGATTTAATTTGATGAAGGTCTGTTGATTGCAGTGTGTAGCCTTACCTAAGGGAATTCTCCCCCTCACTCAGGAATTGGTGCCTGCTCCTCCTTAGTGGGGCTGTGGTAACATCCAATGTGGTTTGGCTGACTGGGTCATCCCCTGCCGCTCTATCTGCACTGGATCGTCCTCATGGGCTTAAGGCATTTCCTACTCATGCCTGCCCGGTTCTTTTAATTTTAACAAAAAGAAAAAAAAAAGCAAGGGCTTACTGTGTAGCACTGGCTAGCCTTGAACTTCCGATCCTTGCAGCCTCCCTGCGTGCTCAAGTCTTAGTTTTTTTTTTTTTTTTTTTTTACGGGGAAACATGTTTGTAGCCTCAGCTCGAATCCTCTGATCGAAAACCCTGTCGACATTAGTGTAACCAAAATCATCTACAGGATGCGTGTAAGTCCTGATGTCCCAGTTCCCCGCCTCTGCTGCCTTTGCAATGAGTTTTATAAATCTCATTTCCACCCAATGCGCTCTGCAGCTCGCGGCTACGTGGCTAGCCTGCTAATTCTCCTCTGCATACGTTCTAGCCTTCTGATTCTTCTGAAAATCATGCTTCATTTTCTTTTCCTCAATTGAAGTCTTTCAAAAGCACCTTCCACTTTTCTGCCATCATTATCCAACCGCTTTGCCCCCTCTTTACCCAGGGTGGGGAAGAAGCAATGCCGCGGTGGACATTGTGACGGTGCCATGAGAAGCGCTGCCTTCGCAAGGCCCTCAGTCACTGTGACCGTCTTCCTGTCAGCTTAGTTTCCCTCCAGTTTTGCTTGTTCGTCATTTGATGAGGTAAACTTGCATTAACGTTTTTCTCCTCTCTAAAGCAATCCTGGAACACAGCCTGAAAGATGCTAGTTTCTGGGATTGATTAGCTGAAGAGAAGGAGACATCTGTGAGTGGCCTCTGTGTGATCTGGCCTCTTTCCAAGCTGGGAGAAGGGAAAGGCAGGCTTGCCTGTCCCTTGTCCTGCCCTTCCTTAGCCCTCCAGATGACCTGGTTTTCTTAACAAGCACCATTAGGAATATGCTTTCCGAAAGAAGGAAGATCTCTGTACGATCAGTTCCGCATAAAGGGATTACCTCAATGTTTAAACACTTACACAGTGTAAATGATCATAGATGAATTTCTCAGCGGCTTCTCTCTCTGAAAATTCAAACAGCTGGAGCTACAGTTCAGGAATTGAAGATAAAAACGAAAAGGGAGATGAAAGGTTTCTCTAAGAGATATCATTTCACTGTTATTATCTAAAGGGAGGGGGGGGTTGTTTCATTACAAAATTACATTGCCAAAAATTGGCATCAAACACAAGGCCACAGAAAACACACATGGTAAGCCAGGTGGCGATGCCATCCCTGTTACATCCCTCAATTTTAAGTCACTATGGTACCTCAAATAATAAAACCATGAGCAGGTATTTTTTTTTCCCTGATAGAGTTTAACTATCTTTATGATAACGGATAGAGAAATGTAGCTAATGCTAATTTCAGATGTGGATTTTTTTTCCCCCAATTTTTGGTGGTGTGTATCAAACCCAGAGCTGAGCAGCACATTTAACCACTAAGATAACCTGGAGCCCACTATCCAAATACAATGTATTCTTGACTCGAGTGAACTTTAGGAGAAATTCACCATCTTTAGGAGAAATTCGCCAGTTTGGCCACCAGGCACTTACAGCCCTTGGTGACTGCATGTCTGAAGGTCCTTTTAGCTAATCAGATCCTCCGTCGGGGCTGCGTTCCCATGACCATGTGCACGCTGAAGCTTCATTGGCTCTTTAGCTCACACGGGCTGGAGTGCGCTTACCCTCTCAATGAAATTGTCGCGAGAGCAGTCAAGAATCGAAGTGCTAGGGATGTCTCTGGTGACAAAACAGACGATGGCCTTCTGAGCTGCTCCTGCAGTCCACAGGATGCCAGCCAGTGTGGCAGCTAGGGCTCGCTCCTGCTCACGCTGGCTCAGGTTACGTAAGCTGCAATGCAGGCAGTCAGGGAAAAAAAAAAACAAAACAGTGGAATCAGCAACCTGGTCTCTGATGTTTGTGTCTCTTTCCGAGTATGGGGGACAACCTCCTGGCTCCCCTCTCAGCGTGACGTGTGAGGGTGGTGCAGGATAGCCTGGCCTCTCTGCATGAACCATAACTGCAGTCTTCAGGGCAACAAGGCAGCTCCCTCAGCAACACCAGCCTGTCTCATCCTAGCGCTCCCCTGTTGACTGGCTCTGAACTCCAAAACGGGTCGCCCTGAATATGTTGCCAACTGATACAGTCATTTTTCAAGCTCAATCCCAAATTATTTTTGCAGCTTCGCTTCCCACATGTTCACTTTGTAAAGTCTCTTCCCAGATGGAACCCCAAGGACCCCCTACACATTCCGTTCCCGTGCCCCTCCCTCAGGCACGTTGCACCTCCTTTTCCACCTGGTCACGTCTTAAAGCGCCCCCCTCCCCGCCGCGTCAGCTCACCCTGAGATGTCCGTCCCTCACCTCACTAAGTACCTTGCACATATTACGTCATTTAATGCATGAAGGTGCTCTTTGGCAGTACCAGATCTATTCCCATTTTAGAGGTGAGGGAGTGAGATACAGAGCTGAGTCATTCAGACCACCTGGGTCCTGAGTCTGTGGTCTTTCCTCTCCCACCACTGCCGGGAGAACCTCCAGCTTCTCTGGGGAGTGGGAGCAATCTTTCTTCTGCTTATTTTTTTTTTCAAATTTTTAAGATTTGGTTCACAAAGAAACATGGACGGAGGCTAGCAGTTACTTGTCTTGTTTGTCCAACTCTTTGATGGGACGGAATAATTGCAAAGCTTGCACAGATAGAATGACAGAAAGATGAGGTGCTTACAGGGAGGAGAGGGAACTTGTGACGGGGAAGGTCCGGGAAGGCCGCACGGAGCAGGGCAATCAGAGCAGTGACTTACTTACACGTCTTCGATGTTTTAGCCCAGATCAACTGCTAGGCTGTACGCTTATGTTGTGAACAAGTGTGTGTTTTAGTTCAGTTATCTTGCACTCTAGCGTGATGGGTGTGTCCCCCACCTATTTTGGGCCCTGCTCCTGTGACTTCTACTTTCCAACTCTTCTACTGGCTTGGAGTCACTTACCCAGAAATGACTAAGTGATATACTTTCTTTCCCTTTGGAGGGCCCAAGCCAATGACTGTCTGGAATGGCTAGTATGGAAGCCCCGCCTCTTAACTGAAGGAGGGTACACTGAAGAGCAGCCTGTGTTCCCTAGCTCTGCCTTGCAGCTCACTGAGACATCTGGGGATCCCCTCCCGCCTTAGTGCCTCTCTTTCCTTGTCCTGCTTCCTCACTCTCTTATATCGGTCTCAGAGGGTACCCCCTTAATAAATCCTTTGCATAAAGAATTTGCATCCTGGGCTCTGTTTCTACTGAATGTGGTTATTCCTGATCTTAGAATGTATTACACCCTGAGCTCTTATTTTGGGTGATATACCTTATGTACTAGAGGATACATAGATGTCTTTGGCTGATTTTTAATCCTTTAATATCTAATATAGGGATCACGAGAGAGTTTTCTAAGTTTGAGCTGAATCTGTAACAAGAATCAAACAGAAAACAGGGTTCCATGGCACCAGGCTAAGCCCTCCCAAGGTAATCCCGCTCCTCTGGGAGAACCTGAGCCATTTCTGTCTTACAAGGACAGACATCGTTCCTGAAGCCACTTGAGAGTTTCATTATGACTGTTTAGCAAAGAAAGATTCTAGATCTATTAGGCCATCTTTTACATGCTAACCACGGTTCTCTTACCTGTGAAGGCTGCGGTGTTTTTCCTCTCTGGAAAAGAGTAAGTGTTTGATGATGGAACCTTGCACTGCCATCTGAACGCTCTGGGCACCTCCCTGAAGTGGGCAAAGAGGCCAGTGAGATAGGAAGGATGCAGTTGGGTACCACCCCAGTGGGACCTTGGGGCCAGCATCACAAGGAGTAAATCTTGGAGCTGGATGCTGTCACTGTTTGTGCTTCTCTGCAACCTTCCTGCTGGCCCTTGGGGCTTAGCAAAGGGACACTCTGGGTCACCGTCTCTGTGGGCTACAGCTAGATACCATCACCAAGCTAGAATCTACAGCGTCTGGCTTCCTGGCCTCAGCCTGATGCCTGGGATCAAGATCTGCTCCTTCCTGCCGTCGCTGCATGTTGCTTCATACCACACTTTCACATCCGAGGAAGGCAGGAAACCAGTGGGCTAGCTCCTGAAATGTAGGTGTGACTAGTGACTTCTGACATGGATTACTGATATTTCAATCAAGCCAGAAAGAGTTTCTAGAGTTCTTTCGGCCTTGTGAATCTTTCTGGGGGCTTGAAATTTGGAGAGAGGCAGCACAATGAGAACTGAGAAGAATTGGAGGAATAAAGAGCTGCGGGCTTGGCTAGAGCCTGAACAATACTTGGTGACATTAAAAAGTCTTTTATCATTCAGAGCTACACAGTCATTTCTACATTTGATTATAATGACACATGCATCCATAGAAAAGCAGAAACTACCAAGATGAGATTAGGAATTGGAAATGACTGAGCCAGCTGTCGCCAGCTGTCACCTTTTCGACTTGTAAAGCAAAAGCCAGGTCAGAGAAGGGACGGTGAAACTTGAGATGCGCCTTCCTCCAGTCACTGCCCAGGACGTGGACGGTGTTTCCAAAGAGACTTCTTTGCAACATCTGAAAAAGAGGATGAAAAGCACACTGAAGTAAACAAGTCAGCCCAAGGTAATTTGTCCCGGACTCAACCCTCTTGGTGAAGTCACCCAGCCTTGTTCTCATCTACATTCAGATTTGCCTCAGACTTGAGTTCCGGTTTTCATCGTATAAAGTCCTGGGCAAAACTTTCCCAACAGGTTTTCTCAGGAGAGTCCCGGAAATTCAGTGCATCTGACTGTGTCTCTTTTCCTCTGCCAGCCAGCTTCACTGTTGTGCTCCGACACCGACCATGCTCTCTCCTTGTGCCCCATTATCTGACTCCACAACGCTGATTTCTCCCATCGCTGAGGTTTCTCCCTTGATCGAGGGGAGGAGATGAAGCAGACAGGACCCCATATTCCTGCCCTTAGTTTAATAGCGATTTTAATGATAGTCATCAAGAAATCCTGGATATTTTCCTGGATATTTTTATAATACATTGAGATCTGTGCGGGACTTACCAGAAAGAGAGAGAGAGAGAGAGAGAGAGAGAGAGAGAGAGAGAACGAAGAACTTATCATTTTGGTTTCTGGGTTCAGAAGGTTTAATCCTGCTGTTATCTGTTCAATCCCATATTTGCAGGGAAAAGACATAACAGAGCAGAACAGGTAGGAAGGGTGGACAGGGGACTGTCGGAGCTTGGCTATTTTTCCTATTTCCCCTCCTACTCTGGCAGGGCCTCTCCAGCGAATGAAATAGTGCCATTCGATTTCAGGAAAGGTCTTTCACTGCAATAAATTCTCCCCAAAAGCCCTCATAGGCATATTTCAAGGTCTACCTCCGTCTCTTAGGTGGTTCTAAATCGAGTCATATTGATTATGAAAATTAACTATCTCACCATTCATAGCCAAAAGCTTAACAGTCACAGCGTATACTTAACATGGCGTGAGATTTGGCTACGTCAGTAGTCTAATCCCCCGAAACTATGCACAGGCTACAATATGTGACATTCCATGGGTGGTAAAAGTGCTATGAAATAAAAAAGGAAGGAGAGAATATTGAAGCTGAATTATTCAGAAAAGCTTTGTGGCAGAGGCCGGATTTGAACTAGGCTGGCAAATGCTTGTGTCAAGCATTTTATGTGTTCCGAGCATGGGACTAAGTTTGGAGCAAGTTATAATTACTGTATGCATTTAATTCTAGGAGAAGGTACTGCTACTTGGAAGGATCTGCGAATCCCTGGGAGGCAAGCCTGTGAGAGATTATATCGATTATGAAGCAAGAACAGCTCACTAAAAGTGGCTGGCATCATGGCTGTCTAGAGAGGAGAAGCTACCATAGGTGTTCTCATTTCTGCTTCCCGGTTTGGGGAAGGTCATGACCTGCTGCTTCAAGCCGGGATATTTTAACTTCTCTGCCAAAGTGTGCTGCCTTTGTAAGTGTAAATAAACCCTTTCTTCTTGAGTTGCTTCCGTCAACTTTTTTTTTTTTTTAAATCACAGTTTATGCTTCCTGGTTGTTTTGCTCTAGCATGATGTCCCCGCCATGATTGAATGAAACCCTCTGATGCTATAAGCCAAACTTAACAAAAGAAACTAAGACACTTAGCATCATCCTTCTATCTAGCCTGGGGAGCTGGAGGCGGAGAAGGGAGGCGCTTGCCGTAAGCTAGCAGAAACAACGGGGTTGCACCCATTCCTCTAAGATCTCTGCCACTTTGATTGGATGTGTTCCATCTTTATGTTTCCTATATTTTGGTGTCCAGATCACTGCTCAATTAATATTTTCCACTAGATGAGGCTGCCTTTGTAATTGAGCACGGGCTTGCTGAGAAAGGACACTTTTACCTTCCTCTAGTGAGAGACAACGTCACTTGTCATATGGCACCAGAGAAATCAAATGGACGTTAGGCAGGGTTAGACAAACAGACTCTAGATCCCGGCTGGTGCAGAGCCATGGTGCCTTTCTCTGGCTTTGCACAGAGCGGGTCCCTTGGGTTCGCAGGAGAATTAGGAGAAGCTTGAATCTGATATGCTCTCCCCACGCCAGCCCAGAGGCTGCTTTAACAGCTGGAGTTGATTTCTGCCCACCTATGTGTCCACCTTCAAGGAAAGGTTATACTTCTCTTTGGGAGCCAGAGCCCAACAGTGACTTCAAGAAAAGTTCTCTGAGCTGGTTCTCAGGGCAAGGACATGGCAAGGAAAAGCAGCAAAGATGCCCAACAGCTGCCCTTGGAAATACAAGACAAGGTGCACACTGTGGCAAAGAGGCCACTGGCCCACAGTGTGTACAGGAGAAGCATCGCAAACCAATAAGAAGTGTTCCCCCCAGACGCAGAGTTTGGATAGCCCAGAAGAAAGACTTTGATAAGCCTGCGTCCATCTTAGGCTCGAAAGACCTCTTATAGTAAGGATTAACTAGGCTCATTTCTGTTGATGATTAAACCTGTTTCTCAAGGATTGAGCTCTGCCCCACCTATAACCTTAGCTACAAATTGTTCTGCACTGCCAGTTGCAGGAATGGTGAGCAAGTCTTTATTTCAAAGGGGTTATTATGACTAACTGTTGTTAAGACTGCCTTGTTATTGCTATGATCACCCATTGTTACGACCCCTTTGTCATGAATACTTGTTATGACTACCTTGCAACCATGTCTTTGTTTCAGGGGTTTGTTATGACCAACTTGTTGTGCATATGTTCTACTTATATGACCCCCACTTACATGCCTGCCAAATACCCCATTTGGAAACCCCCTACTCCTGAACTATAAAAACCCTTATCTCATCCAGGTCCAATGCTGATCTCCTGAACCCCACATTTAGAGTGAGACAGCCCATGCATAAGAATAAAAAAAAACCCTTGCTTTAATTAATTTGGCCATGATTTGGGTTAGTGTTCTTTCTCCTAAAACCCATGGAATTAACAGTTTCCAACCCAAAGACTGAGAAGCTGCAACTGACCCTGACTTCGTTGACCATGGAAACATTCTTATTTCCATATTGAAAAGCAGGACAGCTGATCTCATTGAATATCATGCAGGCTGTTGAAGGAGAGGGATGGAAAGGGGCCTTGGAAACCTCAAGTGCTGAGCGAATGCAGAATGTCACCAGTGTGCCTTTGTCTATGCGGTATGGAAGAAAGCCCCAACACAGACGGGAAACCGGCAAGAAGGAGGGAGCAGAAAACGTGAAAGATTAAGACAAAGAAGGCTCAGGATTCACATTCAGTTTAAAACCGTCTGCAAGCCCAGCCAGGTTTCCTGCTGCTGTTGCTGGCTGCCACCCTCAGCTTAGCTTCCCCTTCCAGGTGCACCTCTGGGGTGCTGGGGAGCAGGGAACTGGAGGCTCCCTGGCCAGTGTGACAAAGATACTTACTTATGTAATGCTCATTTTCATATCAGAGATAACTTACAATAAAATTAATCTGAAACACACTTAAGGAGATTTGCATGTTGTGCTGTCTGGGAACTAGATACAAATGGCTGGGAATGATGGCTGAAATGCCATTATTACTCAGCACAGTAAAGCACAGGGTACAGCGTTTCTATTTCCATTGGCTAGCTTTCTAGTATTTGTAACGTCCACATTCAAGCAGGTGATCTGAACTGGATATGGATTCAGTCAATCCACAATGAATGTGTCTGTGTGGCACTTGTGTGAAGGACAATCACTACCATTGTCACAATCATCCTCTGCTAATATGGGACATAGAGCCAGGAGAGAGAGGATTTTATTACAAATACAAGACTATTTAGGAACCTGTGGTTGGTCACCACAGTGGTTTGTACTTGTGTGGGGTTTCAGGGCAAGCAACGGTGACAGGGTAAGACAGTGCAAAAATTCCTCCGTCTTGGATTCTTGCTGAGGTCCTTTGCAAGTTTAGCTGGAATCTGATCTTCTTGCTGGAGAATCCCAAGGAAAATTGCCCATTCTGTTCTAGGAACCCAAGGTCAGGATGCCCTTAGCTGACTTAGTCTTTCTGGCTAGGACCTCCTAGAGATAACCGCTCCTAGCTTCTGCTGAACTGCTTCTTCTGCAAAGAACCCTATCCCACCTCTGCAGCTGCCAAGCAAGATGCCAGGATGTGGGTTTTGCCTCCAAAACCCTGCACTCTGGACACTGGGGGTCACACCTAACTAGATCCCCGAATACCTGGCTGTGGTCCCCGCTGGCTAGAATAAGACTTTCAGTTGGCTGTAAACTGTGTCTAAGTGGTCGTTTCTGGTGGTCTACCCATAACACAAGAGTGGGAGTCATAATTTATGACCTCGAGATGGGAGGAGTGGGGTCTCGAGCTACAGAAAGGAGCATTCTCACCTTGTTGACTTTGTCCTGTCCCTCCCAGCAGTCTCCCCTTCGCCATCTCCATTGCTCAAACCCAGCAGAAATCAGAGTAAAGGTTTCCCTATTGATAGGTGTTCCGTTTATAGAAACTCTACAGTTCAGGTTCATGGGCAGAAAACGTGATGGAAAGGTCATAGCCGATTTCACTAATGGCTCCTAAGATGCCTCAGAGGGATATGCAGAGGCAGAAAATCAAGAATTCCCTGTCTAGGAGCCAGACCTCATCTGGTGTACCAGCTTCTGCCTTCACACACACACACACACACACGCACGCACGCACGCACGCACGCACACACACACACACACACACACACACACACAGAGCAGAGCCCATCGCTGGTCTCTTGGCAGCACTTTTTACTATGAGATTTGTGGGGAGTTTTGCAGCTATATCAGGAGTTTGTTTATTGGTTGCCAATAATAGGCCACCTGAATGTGTTTCAAGCTGGGTGTTCGAGTCTGGAAGTGGAAGAGGATAGGGATCTGGGACCACTGGGACGGAAAACTAGCGGACAGCACTGGGTAAGAGCTCAGGGGTCGTGACTCTGTTTCATCAGGGGCTGTCATGTCCTCTTATCCACCAAGTGGTAGAAGTAAGGAAGGATAAAAGCTCTAGGCGGAGACAAAAGGCAACAAAAGGTGAGGAACGGGAGAGGTGAGGCTGGAGCGGGTGGTAGGTTGTTGCACTCCACCCTGCTTCCTGGGGGATTCCCAGCCAAGATACAGCCCGGTGGCCTGTCAGAAAGCGTCACGCATCAAGAGCAGTAGAGCTACACAAAAGATGTTCGACAGTGAGTGTTTTGACTCCGAGGCTCTGATAATTTGCCAGGCGGCTGCACTCCCGAAATGCTGATGAAGCTTCCAAGACTCCTCCCCGGAACAGGCGCCTTCAGACTCCCAAAGCTCCCTGCTCAAGTCCCAAGGTGTGTTTAATAATGCTGCCGCTATTCAGAGGACACACGAGCATCTGGGCCACATAACTGGAATAAATCCAAATTCATTTTTTTAAAAGAAAAATCAATTCTCTCTACTTCTGGGACTTCCTTAACACTCCATCAACTCTGTTTCCACTGCATGGGTCTGAATCTTTTGTTTTACAGCCTTTCCCAAGGAGAGAGAACCGCCTTGGGGAGGGTGGGGAAGAGCTCCCCTGGCCTCTGTTTGTGTTTGCTAGGGAGGCAAGCTTGCAGATCTGTGCTCCCCCGCCTCCCCAACACAAGGCTTCCAAACATCTGTGAGTGCTTTTTTTATTTTTAAAATTTGTGTGTGTGTTTTTAAAAATAGACAGTACTTTGTGTGGCTCAAAAGCCAGAGTACAAAATGTGTACTGTGAAAAAAAAAAAAAAGGATCCCTCCCGTTTGTCTCCTTGCCCTCCCCCCTTCACTCTTTGTGGCCTAGGAAGCCTTGCAGAATTTACTTCTTTATTTACAGGCAAATACCAATATAGAATCACAATTTTCTCTCTTTTCTTCCCACATAAAGAGTTGGTAAGTTTTTCAGACATGTAAATTTTAAAACGATACTCTACATAGAAATTTCTTACAGATGACAAGAACATTTATCTTCTCAAGTAACATGCATAAACAAGCCGAATGACCCTCATCAAGAAAGCTCGGGATGTCATGGATTTCAGATTCTGGAATATTATGCATGCACACTCTTTGTGTGTGTGTGTGTGTGTGTGTGTGTGTGAGAGAGAGAGAGAGAGAGAGAGAGAGAGAGAGAGAAAGAGAAAGAGAGAGAGAGTGTGTGTGTGATAGAACACCTTGGAAACAGGGCTCAATTAATATGAAGCTAGCTATAGTTCACGTAAATCTTAAGGCCATGGCACAAGGTAGTTGCTATGACATTCAGAGTGCCTGTGGTTTTGCTGCAACATGAGGTCAGGTGTGGAACGTCCCTCTTGTCACGTCGGTACACAAAGGAGTTTTGGAGCATTTAGGTACCGCACTAGACATGAACAAGTGTATTGCTGTAACTTCTGAACTTTATCACAGTATGGGCGTCATAACTTCTGAGCCCTACAGCACGCCCAGAATTCCACACTACTCTTCATTAATTAGAAGGAGAACAGCTTACTGGAGACGTAAGACACAAGTTGAGACTCCATCTCAGGCTTCACAGCCAGCAATGAATTAGAGCATCTTGGGTCTGACGAGAGCTCTGCAGCATGCCTGATCTCCTGTGAGCCAGGGAGAGAAAGAAGGGAGGGCAAGAGACAAAGCTGCCTGTGAGGAAGGGCACCTAGCCTTGGTGTCCAAGAAGCCCAAGGAAGATGTTATATGATAGTTCTGTGTGGCATTTCCAGAAGAGGTTTCAGTCCCTGCTCGTTGCTCTCCAGTGGGCCCTGCACAAGCTGCAGCTTCAGTGTATGTGATGAGTCTGACCACACAGCAAACGCTGCTGCTCTTTGCCGAGATGCTTAGGCTGGTTTTGGTTGTCTTTGCAACGTTGCAGGTGCACAAAGCCTTTGAAGGAAGAGCTTCTTCTAACTCCATTCCTCAGCCTTTGTGGTTCTCCAGTGTGACACGGACATTCGGAGGATGGGGAGAGTGTGGGATATTGTCTTGGAGGCTCGAGTGTCATTATGATTTAGGGATCCTATTGGAGGACTGCCTAATCAGAGGGAGCTCCCGCCCTTGCTGGTATTTCTTCCTGACTTAACCTTACCTCACTCACAGCCTTCATTTGTGTCTTCTGACCATGGCACAAGCTCCTTCTCACAGCCAGGATCTTGCCTCCAGCCCGACTTGTTTGTCCCCCTCGAGTGATTCTGGTTTTATTCTCTGGCCAGGCTTCTGCCAAGACTCTCATGCTCACAAGGATCGAGACTTGAATTCAATAAACTGTCTCTGAGGCCAGAAGCTGCCAGATCACCTTAGCGCCTCAAATGTCAAGTTCTTTTTTGTTTCTTTGTTTTGAGACAGGGACCCTGTATGTAGTGATGGCTGTCCTGAACTCACTATGTAGACCAGGCTGGCCTCAGACTCACAGAGATCCTCCTGCCTCTGCCTCCTGAGTGCTGGTTTTAAAGGTGTGCGCCACCACAGCCTGGTCTGTCAAGTTCTTTTGGCATCTATATATTAACAGCTCTCCAAAAGGTTTTCTTCTGAGATCAAAGCCTTGTTCTAAGATCAGATCTAGAAAGCTTCTCTGTCTCTCTCCTGCCTTTCCCTTTTACACATTTGTAACACACTCATCCATCTGTCAAATAAACGGCTTGTTCTAGTGTTTGCTAAACAACAAACCGTTAGAGTGGGACCCTTGCCCTCCCTCAGATTTAACTGAGAATGTAAAGAGACCTAGAGTCTGTGAGGAAAAGGCAGTCACCGCCGGTGTCCTTGACAAACACCATAAATAAGTCATGTTAATTATATACTCCTTTTACCAATAACAGCCATCTGTGGTCTCGTCTTCCGTAATACCCTCCCACGACAGGAGATCCAGTTCCCCAGTGCTATTGGCTGGCGGAAGATCACGTTTCATTTCATGTTTAATTGACATTCTCTACTTACTGTGGCCATCGCTGGGGAGATGGGCAAACCATTCAGTTTTGAAGAGACGGTGGAGAGTTTGGGGACAGGACAAAAGCTACGGGATGGCACCTGTTCTTGTCCTTTGGGTCGAAGCATTCCCGTTCCGTCTCCAGTTTCCTCAGCAGATACATGGCTGCCGTCACAATTCTGTGTGAAATGACACCCGCCAGTAAAGTAAACAGCTACTAAAGACCTAGCTTTTACGTCTGTCAGTGTTTGGGAAATGTCGTCTCACTTTTAAAGATGTCTAAGCTGTGATAAACAGTCGCGAAGGCCCAGTGTCTGGGTCAAAGGGGTTTCTCCTGAGTTTGATGGGACTGGAAGTGAACTGTAACTATAGAAACATAATGAATGCTACCAAGACCTTGACTTGAAATTACATTTAGAGAAGAATGCAAATGTCACCGCGTCTTGTTTTGGGATGACAGCATTTTGTAAGTGTTGAATGAGTTATCCGTCTAGGCCAGGTTATCCTTGTTATCTGGTTAACCGGACAATCAAAGAATTGGGTACTACCCTCCCCCTTAATTCTTTCTGATTCATTTGTCCCCTCAAGGGACTGTGATTCTTAAAACTCTCTTCTGTCTTTTTAAAAAGCAATCTATTTTTACATTTCTTGACCTATGCTTGTGGCATTTCTGGGTTAGTTAACATCAACCCTTAACAGACTCATTCCTATACCAGTGTTATGAAAACAGCTTCCAGGCCATGAAGGGTACTGCCTTCTTAGTGTTTCTGTTCTCCTAGAGGTGAGGATGCTTTCTTATCTCACGAACACAGCATCTGATTCACAGAAGCTGATAGGCTGCGATGAATTTTGTAACCCAAATGGAAAATCATCACCTTCATACCAATGGGCTTTCCCATCCCGTGTCAAACCGTAAGCTGGAATTTATTTATGCCTTCCCTTCGACAGCCATCTTATCTTTGGAGTGCCCTATCTCCCCAGTGGTAACTATCAAAATTTAATATTTCCAGAACCAAAGTAGAAACATTATCTTCCTGATTCTAATTTAGACTAGGGCTAAGGGGGCTTTAGAAAAAAAATGAGGCTTTGCTTACAAGTTCCTCACAAGAAGGGAAGTGCTTTAGCCATGCAGTTAAACTACTGACAGTTCAATTGCTTAATCACATGTATTAGTCCAGGAAAAAAAAATCACATTAATGGTTTGTGCTGCCTTGGTTCAGAGATTGAAGTACATCCTGAGATACAAGGTCATTACCTTACGCTTTTAGGCTACATAGATTACACATGTCTTTCATTTCCCATTGCATGAGAAGCTGGAAAATGCCTTTACAACACCAGAATATAATTTTATGCCCGTTGTTTGAAAACGGAGAGGAAAACAACCTTTCAGAAGCCAATAAAGGTAATTATGATTAAAACTACTTTTCTTTAGGGATATGACCACACTCAGTTGCTACAGTGTAGCTTCGTTTTACAAGTGGAGGAACTTTTCTGAAAACAACCTTTCAGAAGCCAATAAAGGTAATTATGATTAAAACTACTTTTCTTTAGGGATATGACCACACTCAGTTGCTACAGTGTAGCTTCGTTTTACAAGTGGAGGAACTTTTCTGAATAGTAGCAATATGGTGTGCTTACTGATGAAAAGTAGGGAGAGGCCGGGCTGTGGTGGCCACACCTTTAATCTCAATACTCGGAAAGCAGAGGCAGGCAGAGCTCTGTGAGTTTGAGGCCAGCCTGGTCTAAAGAATGAGTTCCAGGACAGGCTCCAAAGCTACACAGGGAAACCTGTCTCAACAAACAAACAAACAAATAGGACAAAAAGAAGTATTGAGAGAAATTTTTGAAGAAAACCTCTCCCACAGGCTTTTAACCTCCCTAATGTTTCCACATGTTCCATGCCTGAGCCTGGGTGATGTGGTGTGCACTGGATACGTGAAAATCATGCTGTTCAGTGTGACCGTGTGAAGAAGCAGCTAGAGAAAACAACACACTGGCTCTGAGGAAGCAATTACCTGAGAATCTGTGCTGTTGGTTCTCAACCTGTACGCGAAAGAGAAAACAGCAGGTGAATCACCAGTCCACTCAAACCTCGCATCCTCACCCCCCCCCCCCCAAGTCCCTGTCTTGCTAGAGTCTGTCAGCAAAAGGTGTGCGGGAGGCCTTTTAACTGTAAGTCTATGACGAACACTTGTCATGCGAAAGACATAAGTATCTTTGGCTCACACACCTTGGACCCCTGTTTTGGAGGGGCGAGACAATTACGGTTCTTACCTATGATTCTTACCTGAAGATTCCCCTCCATCTGTCAAGAAGTAAAATTTCCCTAGTGATCTCATTTAAATCCGGCCCGAGAGGACTCTGTTCCTGGACTGAGATCTCTGTATCCATTTAGAGAAAGCGACGATTAGAATGAGGAGGCTGTGGAGATGGGAGAGACAGCCTTGCTGTGGAGATGGGAGAGACAGCCTTGCTGTGGAGATGGGAGAGACAGCCTTGCTGTGGAGAGGAGAGGCGTCTGGAACACAGAGCTCAGGCGACACAGTCGCCGCTCTGAGCAGATTCCATTAAACTTTCATTAGAGGTGAGATACGTTTTTGTACTTTGGTCCCCTGTGTAGGTGCCATGAATGTTTAATCCAAGATAGTTTATAAACAAAGGGATTTCAATCACCTGCATGAAATCATTGGAGACAATGTAACTGATAAAACACTATGCGGGTGTAACCGGATTGTTTCCTTGGGCTAGGCTATCTCCTGGAAAGGGTTAGTGGAGCAGAAATGTGCTGACACGGGGACTGAGAACCGTCCTGATCGCGTAAAGAAATGTTTGTACGGGCCAAGGACGACACCGGCTAACAAACAGATGTGCGGCGTAGAATTCAGTGGACAGAAATCTGGCATGAATGCCGAAGAGCGGGTGCCAAGGAGAAATCTAAAAGTCCCATCTCTTCCTGTTGGCTGAATGAATTGTACTTACAATAATTGGCATAAAAAAAAATTATTAGTGGTCACGACCCTGTAGGTTTCCCTGCCAGTTTGACTGCTGATGCAAAGACAGGGGATTGGTTACCAGCGAGTTTTCTTCCTTCCTCTGACTACTGGGTGTTAAAACTGAACATCTTTAAGAGACCATTTTCGCTGTAGATGTTTCTGGACATGAGTTCCGTAGAATCCTAGGCATGCAAAGAAGTCACTTAGATTTATTGTAGCCAAAGTGGTCAGGCCTCAGAGGACTGGTGGCTTATATTACTGCAAAGATCTTGAAGCGTAGCAAGGCACGTTATGCACAGGCAAACTGTGCATTCCACAGTGCACAATCCAACTTAGGAGCACTCCACCACTGTTTCTTAGATTTTGGGTGATGCTGGCCATTTCATATTTACGTGCCCTGTAAATGTCTACCAGATTTAGCATGCTCTTGTAAACCTAAGAGGTATAAATAAGTCCTTTCTTATTGCCTCTCTTAAACCATAAATTTTATTCCAAAAAGATAAAAGTTTTCTGCATTTTCCTCTTTATAATTTTACAGTTTTAATGGTGGTATCAGTGTTTAATATTTATTAGGCAGCTCTACTACAGAAGAAGAAATAAGAGATTGCACAATTCTTGTTCTCAACTAATATAATAATGAGAAATGTCCTCAAAATTCCTATTTAGAAAACCGTATTAAAAAAATAAATTCTAGATGTGCCATTTAAATTATTTAGAGACTCCAAAGCCAGGAAAGGAGAACAGCTGAGAAGGCCATTTTTCTTAAGAATCATTATTAACTCTGTGTTTGGGGTTATGTTTTTGTTCTAACTTGTATAGATGCTTTGAAGATAGACACATAAATCCCAGTGATTAGACAAGCTACCAATAAACATGAGGGGCACTTTCAGATGCCAAGGTGAATAATATATTCTCATTCTTTATAGTGGAGGAAACACACACACACACACACACACACACACACACGGGAAAGGCTGTGAGGCGGCACAGAGAAAAGGCAGGCTAGCTGCCCAGCCTCCGGGCTTAAGCTACTTAGCTCTGGGCCATAGCTTTACCTACTATAAGTTGCCTTGGACAAATTATTTAATCTATTTGTACATTAGTTTTTCATTTGGGCAATAGGAATGGATTGCTATCTTTATCTATTGAGAAGTCTAATCTATGAACATGGTATAACCTCTTGTTGAGACTGTTTATCTTCCAAATGCTCTATCGACTTAATCCAAGAGTTGGTTAAATCAAATGATGATGGCCATTTAAGCATACTCAGTATTCCTGAGCATCCCTTGCTCAGGCTCTCTTACCACTTCTATCTCCAAGTTAGATACTTGGGGATAGTTTACACTCTCACGACTTTTCCAGTCTTTTTTTTCTCCTTTTCAGTTAGGTGTTGTAGAATACTATTTTAAGATGTGTTACCTTTGTTTGTGCTGTGGAACATTTGTTTAAGAATGCAAAGATGTGTTGCCTTCTTTAATGTTGCATTTGTTTAACTCTGTGAAGCTTTGTTACTTTGCCTGCCTAAAATATCTGACTGGTCTAATAAAGAGCTAAATGGCCGGAGAGGGATAGGTGGGGCTACCAGACAGAGAGAATAAATAGAAGGAGAAAAAAAGAAGAGGGAGGAGCAAAAAAGGAGGAGCGGAGGCTTCTAAAGTCCAGCCACCCAGTCACATAGCCAGATACAGAGTAAGGTGTAAAGAAAATATATACAGAAATAGAAAAGGGTAAAAGCCCAGATGCAAAAGGTAGGCGGGGTAAGTTAAGAAAAGCTGGCTAGAAACAAGCTGTGCTAAGGCTGGACATTCATAAGAAAGAATAAGTCTCCGTATACGTTTTCGGGAACTAGATGGTGACCCCACCCAAAGAATACAGAGTGAAGAAAATCCCTATAGTTAGATGCTGGCACAGATTCCACAGGTGTAGAGGACTGATTTGGATACCAAGAGTTAGAAACGAGACGTAGGCACCTCCAGCAGAAGCTGGCAGTCTTTAGCGCATCTGGTCTAAAGCCATAGAGTGGAAGGGTTGGATATAAAAAGCAGAGCAAAAAGAGAAGATGGAACCGGGAAGTCCCAGACTGGGGCTGGAGGGCTGTGGTAATGGAAAGAACAGGAGTACAGTTTCTATTATATTTTATACCTTTTCCCTACCCCACAGCATCGCCCAATGTTCCTGCCCATGACTGCTTTTGATGCAATGACGAGGTTTGAATATGGAGTATGGAATTTCTACCAGGAGAAAAACTAGTGTGGATTTCAAGTGTGCAGGTGGGGTGCGTGAGAAGGTAAGGGCATCCAGACTTGCCATGCTCCTTTGGAAAGCAATGGCTAATCTTATTCATCATTTTCTTTGTTCAGCCTTCAAGTCAAATCTGTAAGCCTTGGACTTGCACAGCATTTTCATTGGCTGGCGAAATTCCCCCCAGCTTTCTCTCTTGCTGTTTTCATGTGATAGCAAACGGAAAGACGGAAGCAGGATTTCAGAGGCTTTCTGTTTTCTTCTGAAAGTCTTGTTAGTGTTGTTTCTGAAAAAGTCTTTAGGAGCAGGTTAAAGTCCGTAGGTATCGCTATTCATTTTCTCTGGACCTGCCTTCTGATGTGGAACGTTCTGGATATATTCCTTCCTAAAACAATCTTGCTAGTTCACATTTTGTAAGAGAGAGCTGATGTATTTTCCTTTTGTTCGTTGCTAGTGTAGTGAGGAGAGGGAAGACGGGTCAGGCCCAGGGTCACATTTCTGCTCTTGTAACAATGTAACCCGAGAGAAGTTGCTTAGTTCTTCTTCCCTTCCCTTCTCCCTTTGTCTCACTCACTGATGGAGGAAGGTCATTGGCTAATAAAGGCACTGCCCTGGCCCATTTTATTGGTTAGAGGATAGGTGGGAGGAGTAAACAGAACAGAACGCTGGGAGGAAGAGGAAGTGAGCTCAGAGACTCCACAGCTCTCTCGGGAGCAGATGCCTCAGAGAGAGACGCCATGCCCCGCTCCCGGGATGAAGTTCTGACCCAGGATGGACTAGGCTAGAATCTCCCCGGTAAGCGCACCTTGGGGTGCTACACACAGATGATTAGAAATGGGCTAAATTAATATGTGAGAATTAGCCTAGAAGAGAATGGGCCAAGCAGTGATTAAAAGAATACAGTGTCCGTGTAATTATTTTGGGTAAAGCTAGCTGTAGGGGCGGCCGGGTGCTGGGGATGCAGCCCCGCCGTCCCTATTACTTCAACTCACCAGAAAACTTTTAATCTGTTTTCTCATCTTTTAAATGCTAAGATTCCCCTTTAAATTTTTTGTATTTGTGTTTTATTTATTTTTATTATTTGACTTTATTTTCTGAGTGGCAGCGAGAGTCTTGGGCAGGTCAGGAACTCCAAAGTCCTGAGAGAGTCAACGGACATTGGTCCTAACTCAGTCTGTTGGCCATTGGCCTTTGACCACTCAGTAATGGCCGTGGGTCTCAGTCATTACCTAAAAGGCCTTTAAAGCTAGGTTAGTATATGGAAAATACATGTTTGGTTTTGCACCTGCTTCTACAAGCGTGGGAATGCCTGAATAACGAAGGAGAGAGATGATCCTTCTTTCCACAGCTGGCAGTTTAGAACAGGCTAATCGCTGGCAAGATTGGGCCTGGATTAGAAGCTTGGAACTTTAAACTGAAACCTCTGGCCTCTGGGGAGTGAAAAGCGTTTAACTCCAAGGCTGATGACTCGGTTCATCAGTAATGCCAAGGTGAGAACATCCCTAAGAAATACTTCTCAGCCGGTAATCATGCCTAAGCACCAGAAGGAGGTGTGCCTCCTCCCCTGGGGACAGAGACTTCTGCTCCTGGAACCTGTCCAGATCTCCCCTTATGAACGGCTTCATCTTGTTCCATGTTTGCATCCTTTATGATAAATATAAGGAGGATTTCTGAGTTCTGGGATCCATTCTGTCAAATTACCAAGGTGTCTTTGGGACCATTGTTTTAAGACCTGGTTAGTCAAAATATGAGTGACCATTACAGATGGGTTGAAAATGTTGAAAGTCAAAAATGGAGAGGGGGACTGTAATTTAGTGATGAGGAGTCTGCTTGTGTATCGGGCCCTTCTCTTTTTACTATAATCTATTATCAGTCAGATGTGACTCAAAGGGGTATTTATTTTGAATCACAGTTCCATGGTAGAGAAGGCGCGGTGGCTAACCTGGTTTGATCTTCTGCAGCAGAAACTTGTGGAGTGGATTGCTCACATCTTGGTAGATGGGATACAGGGTTCAAGGTGGGGAGTGAGCCAGGCTATAAACCCCCTCCCCCAGTGGTCTATTGTCTGTCAGCTAGGTCCAATGTCAAAAGGTTCCACCGTCTGCAAAACAGCGCCACCAGCTGGGGACCAAGTGTGCAAACATATGTACCTGTCCA